GCATTATATATAATAATATTTCGTGTTGCTGTTTTAAAATTACAGTAATTTTCTTGACAGCTTTCTCAATTATATTGTGTAATTCCATGACAGTACATATTAAAAATATCTATTCTTAACTAAGCCAGTCTTTGTCTAACACATCCCTGGGAATGTTCATTATCATATCAACACTTTCTACTTTATCTTGAAATTATGTAGATGTTAAAATAATTACATCAAGTACGCTCTGCAATCACCCTGAAAATTATATTTTCTTTAAAAAGTCACAAAGCTTTTTAGACAGGATATATTATACTATAGCTTAATCAACATTGGTTTCCAGGTGTTTTTTCAAGGTGAAAAGATAATTATTGGTGGAAAAATTTTCACCCATCTACCTCTTCTATTTATATGGCATTTACTCTATTTAGTGAGAAATTAGGCATTTCTTACTTCCAAAGTAACAAAATTAATATGAAAAATTAAGCCAAGATGATAAAAATATAAAATATAAGTTCTCTAATTTTAACATACTTTCCATTGAAAATAACATGGGTTAAATGCTAAATAACAGTTACTTATAAGTGCTTTTCATGAATAATTAATGAAATGCAATTTTATAAAATTTTATAATTACACTGAACTCCAAGGTATAAGCAATATAATTTATGAATCTTTACAATCTTAATTTCTTTCATATATTTATTTAATATTTACTAATAAATTGATTATATATGCATAAAGTATAATGTTCTTCAATGTTCTACATTAATGTTCAATAATGTTCTACATTAAAGGGCCCATAGTTCAAACAGTCAGCCTTTCATTCTTGACTTTAGGAGAAGTAATGTATTGTAGTATAGGAGTCTCTTTTATGCAACGAGCAAGAAATGTTTTCTTCTAGAGTTTTTCCTATTTGGTTTTATTACATCATTTTTTGTGTAGAGAAGGATTATTTTGAATAGTCAAAGTTATAATCTGTACAAAGGCCCATGATAGGCAAATATATTGTAAATTTACAGAGAATAATGGCTTATGCCAAAATTAACTCCTACCACACACCTCATTGATGAATCCCCCCAAGTAATGTTGGACAGAAGGAAAGAATCACTAAAAGCAAATGATGACACTTGGATAGTTTGTAAAATAGGTCAAATTAATACATGGTGCTTGAGAATTCAAATTAAGTGCAAAACTTATCAAGAAAAGCAAGAAAATAGTCAACATAAAAGTGAGCCTGATGGTTGCCTTTAGGAAAGGAGAAGACACAGTGATGGGGAGGGCTATGAAGGGCTGATGAATGTGTTCACTATATGATAATGAAATGTACATTTTACTTTTTCATATTAGTATATGTGTTCCACATTTTTAAAAGATGAAAATATAGTGAAATGGGGCATACCCTGCTAAGTTCTGAGGATACTGAGACTGCTGTAGTCACAATCCTTCTTAAGTCTTTGAGTATTATTTGTATGTTGAAGTCTGTTATAAAACCCTGGTGATTAATTATCAATCTTGTGTGTGTGTGTGCGTGCGCCTGTCTGTCTGTCTGTCTGTATGAGCAGGAAAGAAGGAAAGAAAGAGGGAAAGGGAGGAAAAGAAGGAAGGAAGAAAGGAAAGGGGGTAGTGGGGTAAGAGAATAAAGTGTGGTCGTGAAGGATTGAAGTTTGACAAGTTTGGCAGTATTCTTCACAAGCTGTTTTATTGCAGTATTGTCAAGAACACCCCAGGTTGAGTTCAAAATTAGAAGCAAAGACACCTTTGTATTACCATGTTTATGGAAGGAACTTAGCCATTACTTGCTGTTGCCAATAACAGATTAAAATTTCAGAGCCCTGATTCTTTTCGTTTTTAATAATTTTAATCTTAATAATTTGTCTTCGCGTTAATTGACATTGCCAAATGCTCTAATCTCCTTAGAGTATTTTGGACTCCTGTAATAAAACTATCTCTGTGTTTATCTCCCAGTTTACCTTTATGTTTTCGTCCCAATTTACTAGCCCTCCCCCTCAATCTCTTTTTCAGTCCTTGCAGAGCCCTGATTCTTATGGGGATTTTCAAGGTCCATTTGATAGTAGAACCTGCAACCCTAACAAAACAGATATATTTTACTGTGGTCCTATCACAGTGTTCCTTCATGAAAAATCCACCTTTAGGCAAAGCTGACCTGATTTAACCCAGATCTAGTTTGTTATAGACTGAGGTTGGAAAATACTCCATGCTTAGGTGCCTTTAGGGTGCAATACCATTAGTTTGAGACACTGTGTCTTCAGTTGTGCCCGAAGCCACAGGAGAGACTGAAGCAGCACTTCCCACTTTGCGTTTGACTCAAGAGGTGGCGTGATGGCACATCAGTAGGAAATGACCTCCTTTAGAGCTGGACTGTCAAGTATTCCCAATCACAAGACAATTGGTGGTTGTGTACTACAATATGCATAATTCTCTGAAACTTAAAATAAAACCCAAATCCACAAAAGCTTAATGTTAAAAAAAATGACCATATTATTATTTCTCCCTGGCCTAGCTCCACTTTAGTTGAAGGGAATGAAAAGTAGGAAGAAAAGCCCTTTTATTACAGAGAGTGGAAAGTGAAGACAACTCTTTCCCATTCAGTTCTTTGTAAGTAGAAAAAGTGAAAAGATAATGTTTCAGCTGTCAGCAGCTGTCTGACACTTGAAGGAGAATATCATTACAACAGAGGAGCTAACAATATCTTCAAAGGTCATCACAGAAATTTAAAAAAAAAAAGGAAACATTTGTCCATTGACTATCTCAGTGGCCTACTTTCGTGCTTTCTTTCCAAATACTTGGCAGCTCAGAACTTTGTTCAGTATTTTAGGTGTCAGATCGCTGCATGATGTGCAAGTCAGAAGGTGTTATTATTTGCAAAATATCATCTTCTTTTGGAAGTTGACCTCACATTAAATGTCAAGAGACTAAGACACTGATTTTATGAAACCATAGTTTAGAAATGGAAAATGAAGATTGTGTTAAAGGACCATCACCATTGAGAATTCACTGTGACAGTCATAGTACTTAAAGAGTTAGAACACCTACAATTAAGCATCTTGTAAAATTAAAGGGCTTCATCTTATCCATATGAGATTCTGACATTTTAACCATATTTCTTCTGTGTTGTTCACAGGCTCACCTTGTGGCAGCTTTTGAAAAGAGTTTAGGGAATATGACTGGTCGGTTGCAAAGTCTAACCATGACAGCAGAACAAAAGGTATGGTCAGGAATTGCCCCTGAGGCTGGAAAGTAGGTAGTATACCTCATAGCATGCTTAAATAACAACTGGGATATATAGCCTTGAAAATAATCCTACAGGGTATCTGTTCTACTAAACTGGAACATAAATACATAATACATTTCTTTTCAGATTTTAATTTGGAGATGTCATCAGATTAATCTGTATTGGAATACTGAGGCATAAATGTATGCAACGTTCTTTCATGAAGGTCTATTAATTTAATCCTGATTACAACTGAAAATGAACACAAAATGTTAATAAAGAGAAAATGTTGAACAGGAGACTTCAAATATTCTTGGAACATATTGTGACATAGTTGACAAGCATTGCACTGTGCTGATCATTTTAAAAAATGCATGGTTTGTAAGTTGAATAATAAACCATGTTTGTAGACTGACATACCAAGAAAGAGGTCTAGAAATGACACTAGAACTCCAAAGAACAGACCTCAGGGTATAGTTGTTATGTTATGGGCAACTCTGTGTAATTTGAGAGTCATAAGAACTAGTTGGCATCTGTGGATTTTGAAGTAACATTGCTTTAGTTACATGAAAAGTTTAAAATACATGTGAAAAGTTTTATGACATGAAATAAAGAATACTAAAAAGGGATGGAAGAGAATCAAATTCTCAAAGGCAAATGTGTTAAAACATTCCAAGCTGTCCAGAAAGAGGCTGGTGACTGTCCGTATTAGGACCAGTTAACTTTGCTCCCTGCTGTTAGTCCAGCATTCCTACCCTCCCTTGGATTGCTGTGAGAGGCTGGTGCATCCTCTGAAATTCAGAAAAATGTTTTAGAAAAGCTGCGTATGTATAAAACGTGAGTAGGTACTCCACACTCATTTCATTCTAAGGTGTTTGTTCCTGTCTCTATACATAGGAATGGCTTCAGTTTGTCTTTTACTTCTGTAAGGTGTTACATTACCAAAATTTTTAAGTATACAGAGCTTTTTTCTAGAAAATATGAAGTGAATCATCCATTTCAAAAGAAAGATCTAATATCTATAATTACCTGATATAACTACAAAATGGTCCTTAAATTTATTCTCATATTTCATGGATTTCTTCTGCCCATGACCGAACTCTGTCCATTTCCATCAAGCTGTGTGAGAAAGATAGATAAGCCCTTTGAGCTAAGAAATGTTCCTCTTCTTCTCCTCCTGCTTTCCTACCCCTCTTTTCCCTCTATCTCTTTTCTTCTTCCTTCCTTTCTTCCCTCCTTCCCTCCTTCCTTCCTTCCTCCCTCCCTTCTCTTTCTTTCTTTCTTTCTTTCTTTCTTTCTTTCTTTCTTTCTTTCTTTCTTTCTTTCTTTCTTTCATGGATTTCTCCTTCACTATGTAGCATAAGAAGCCAGAAAAATGGTTATAAGGCCTGTTAAGTAGTCAAATAAGAAAGAACACTAATGACTTTGGACCCCAGTAATCTTAAGTGTGAATTCTGAATGTGTCTCTTAAGAAAAATTTAATCTTGATCAAGTTTAAGCCCAAATTCACCATTTTAAAAGTGGGAATGATATTAAATACAGTGTAGGTTTACCTTGAAAATTAAGCAAAATGCTATGATTGCATCCATAAAATGAGCAACCAAATATTTTTACTTTTCTTCATCTTTCTCTTTTCCCTAAAAAAATAAAATAAAATAAAATAAATGGACTTTTGACAGGTAAATGTGTGTGTGGACTAGAGTTAGTATCCCCAGAGCCCAACATAAAAGCCAGATGAATATGGCAACAATCATGGGCGGTGGAAGAGGGGTTCCCTAGAACAAAGGAGCCAGACTAGCCTAAACCTCAAGTTCCAGCTTCATCAAGAGACCCTTCATAAATATATAAGGTAGGGAGCAGTCAGGACGCCAGACATCCACATCCACCTAGCTCTACCCATACATGAGCACCTGCACACAAGATACTTAATGCATACACACCACACACATATATATGCAAAAAACAAAAAAGAAAAATCATAAATATTAACAAAGTCAGGCATATGTTAGATATGTTTCTAGAAACGATGGTTAGCATTTGTCATATCTTTAAGAAACCAAAATCAATAGCAATTTTTTACAATGCCTTCATATTTTCTCCTTCAACTTGTTATATGTATAATTCGATTTTATAATGGTATCATGTAAAATACAGGTGTGTTAATTTATGTCTTTGAATAATATTTGAACTATAACTCATTAATACAAGGAATTTCATAATTGCATACATAGTATCCTTAAAATAACATCACAAATGTTATTAAAATTGCCCCACAATATCATGACTGAAATTACCTTTACTTCTTTTAACTGAAAATAAATTAATTCTTCAATTCAGAACTGTACATGCACAAAAAATTTGGTAAATATTTATGAATCTAAGTAAATTAAGATTTTCCATTTGAGGAGCCTATAAAATGAATTGCAATATGACATAACTCATTGACAAACACTTACTCAAACCAGTAGTTGGACATATTCAACAAGGTATCTGAGTCACATGGCCCAGCCACAAAGCCCTAAACTGAACTGAATGTCAAGGAAGCTAGGATACAAAGAGAAATGTCTTGGTGAGTTTTGTTCTCATTTTCAGACCAAAAGAGTGTAATTTAGATTGAAAAGACAAACCTTTTGGCCCTGGATTCAAGGATAGATATATAACAAGAGTTCTTAAATTGGGGTCATGGACTAACAAAAGACAAAAATCAGTGTTCACATAGATGTTTCTCTAAAGGCTGAGGGCATAACATTTAATCGTATTTCAGCAAGGCATTTCTACAGGGAGCTAAGATAAAAGGGTTTATTGTTCTCTGGTGATCTAAGAATCCTGAGAGAAAGCCTGAAGAATATGGGCTTTCAGTCTCAGTTCCTAGCAATCCAAGGTTAATTTGCCCATTTAGTCATTCATCAATTTTATATCAAAGTTCTACTAAGAACTAAATAATACTGATAGAAAATCAGGTAGATGAGTTGTGGAACCAGTTTTCTATCTCTATCTACATCTATAGATATCTACTAGAATTAAACTCCAAGAAGAATATTATATGTCCCTCATAAGTTGAAATAAAAGAGATAATGTATAATATTCAGCCTCAAGTTTTTATTTGTTATATATGAAATATTCATACACAAAATGTTCGTGTAGGCATATAATTCACATTGATTTTAATAATCAGC